CCCCAAAACCCCAAAACCCCAAAACCCCAAAACCCCACTCCCAAATCATATAATTAAAATTAAAAATTTATAAATTATGGACCAAAAATCAGACTCCCCTGAAATTTTCTCTACCCAAAACCCCAACAAAGAGCCCATGAAGAAGCCAAAGCAAGAAGAGATAAAGGAAGAGGTAGCAACATTATTTTACCAAAGCACTTTAGGCAGGGGCATCTAAATCAGGCAAGCTCAGATCCCAGGAATACAGGAATAGAAAGAAACAATATATTGTTAAGTTAGGTAAGAGAGTAGATAATGGTGTAGAGGACCTTAATAAGACACTTAGGGATGAAAATTTGTTACTTAAATAAGGAGAATGAGCAGCTTAAGAAACAGCTTGAGTGTATCCAGCCTTCTGTGATGAAGAGTAATGATGAAAAAGCAAAGATTGATCACAATGAAGACTTTGCGTATTTTAAAATACCTAAAATGCTCAATGAGAATCCAGATAGTGTAAGACTGACTCAGATCTGAATGGCTGGCCATGATATCAGCGAATGGAATCCAGACCGTATCAAAGTTATAAAGAAGGCATTTAATGATATTTTACATTACATGCTTGCTAAAGAAAATAAGTGCTTTGTTGCTGCCTCTAAAAATATGAAAATGAGTCAGTATATTAAATAAGATGCAAAGCAAGCGTGCTATCAAACGGAAATACAAAGAGCTTGAAGAAGTAGATCCTGAACAAATAATGCTCAACATAGAATTTTCTGACACAATGTTAGATTATCTTCAAAGAAATGGAGGAGGGTATATGAAGACTTGTAAAGTTTATAAAAATCTAGCCAAGAAGCTAATTACAGTTAGAAATGAGATCCTGAACGCAAGCATGAACAAGGAGAAATTTTTTGAAGAAAGCAATATTGAACAAGCTCTGGACAAAAGCGATTTTAAGGCAGTCTCAGACCTCATCGCAAAACTAGATGGTACCAAATACCTATTGCCCAATTTCCTTTACGACCTTCCCATCAGAGACTCAAACTCCGACACCTACAACGGTTGCGAACTTTCTGACTAACAATCCCATCATATTCCTTAAAATCCCTCAAAAATCACGTCATTCAACTAATTCCTAAAATATCGGGGTTTTGGGGTTTTGGGGTTTTGGGGTTTTGGGG